AAATTTAAATTATAATATTGATTATTGTGAATTAAAATTAGAATCTTAATAAATGTAAATTGAAATTTCATCTTGGTTAATTATTATATTTGACAAAAAAATTTGAACTTAAAAAACAAAATGTTGTAAAAAAATAAAAATATATGCACTATATTTAACATTTTTCAAAAGTTTAAGAGGCTGCTTGTCAACAACTAAAAAGAATTCTGTTAGTCAGTTAACGAAATGTTTGTCAAGTAGACCATTTTAAAACAAAATTGATAGTTTATAGATCATTTAAAAAAAATTTATTTCTAAACTAAACTGAAATAAATCACATAGTTAATAGATTATTGATTGAATTTAACCTAGTCTAAAATATGTATATTGTTGTATAAACTATTTTCCTTATTAGTTTTATTGTTTTTCTCATGAATTTTTTTTATAGAAGATATGATGATTATTATTTTGAAAGAATTTTGTAACTTTATCTATTTGAAATTTATGCATCCTTTTCTTTTTAGATTATTAATGGTTTCAATTCTTTTTTTGATGTGTGGCAAGAACAAAACTCTATTCATGGGATTAGAGTTCATCAAAGCATTATTAGTATTGTAACATATACTGAATTGAATAACAAAGATATGAATTTGATAAAAATCAAGTTATATGAAAATATTGCACTCTTTTGTAAGATATTATGTTTTTTATTTTATTCATATTATACTATTATTAACTTTTTGATCATTTTAAATATAAATTTTACTTCACATTCCTTCTAAATTGTATATATATCCAAAATTACTGTCGCATATATTTGGGAATATGCATTCAATTGCATTAAAATCTCATTCAAACAACTCTTTTTGTAACTTTAATTTGAGCAATTATATTAATATATTAAAATAGTTTGCAATACAAGTTAAAGGAATAAAATAGGAATGGACAAAAATTGATAGGAAATTGTAAATGAGAGAAGGGACAAGAAAAATAATCATAAAACAAAATTTTGCAAGTTAAGCAATTACAAAAAAAAAAAAAAAAGAGTTGGTAAAGACTAATATAAATATATATATATATAGAGAATTGTTAAATATTTTTCCTTATTCTGTAATATTTCATATAGATCTTGCATACTAAGAATATTTATGGTTTGATTTTTTTTATTAAAACAAAATTGATAGTTTTTAACCTCAATTTTAAAAGATTATGAATTCAATTAAACAAGGATTAAAAATAACTAAGGAAGATGAAAAAAATTAATAAAAGTATAAGGTAAAACTTATTTGATTGTTAGACTAACAACTAATAAAATTTATATATATAAAAAGAAAATCAAAAGGCAAAAAAAAAAAAAAATTCTTAGATTAGCCGTCTATTTCTATATCTATATTATTATCTATTTATCTATATCTATCTATATATTATATAAAATGCTACACTCAAGTATTAATTAGGCACTAAAATTTGTCATTTTTATTTTAATTATAAAAAATATATTTTATTAGAAGTTAAAATGAAAGTATAGTATTTTTACATTCAAATGTAATAAATATACATATTAATAATATTAGTTTTATCTTTTTATCTTATCTTCTTCTCTTCCATTTCCATTTCTCTTCTTAATACTCTCAATAATTTTACTATTATTAGATTTTATTACATATATAATGAATGAATTAAACCAAAGGAAGATGAATAGATGCTTAATTTTTATACAGAATAAAAACATATGATTACAATTTCATTCATCATCATTTATAACACTATTATAACACTTTTATTCATTATTTGTTTTTATCATTTTTAATTTTTTTCACCTCATGCACTTTGTTTTTTTTAGGTCGGAAAAAAAACTACATGAGGAAGTGAGATCTAAAAAAAAGTTGACAAAGAAGAAGATTTTTGTCTGAATTGTCTAAGTATATTTCATACAGAATTTCTTTTTGTTTTATCAAAAATATTTTTTAAGAAAATAAGAGAATATGTATATATGTGTATTTGTTTTGAATGTAAACGTACAAAATGTGATTATGACAAGGCAAAATAAACCTTTTGATGAATAAATTAAAAATATGAAGAATTTGAGAAATATTCATATTAGTTCATTGATCTTTGTAAATGCCAACATCAGTAAAATAAAATTAATTCTTTTTTACTTATTTATTTTGGATTACTTATATATGCTTTATTTCTTTGTTTCTTAGCACATATTTTGAAATTGTTATTTAATAATAATAACAACAACAACACCAATAATATCAACAATAATAAAAATTAATATATAAATATGTACTAAAACAACATCTAAAGCTATCCTTGCAATTTCCCATTAAATGGGAGTAACATAGATTTTTATCCACATATTTGATGTATGTTAAACCAATATACTTATTATTATTTTCCATTACATGTATATTAAATCAAGGGAGAACAACTTAAGAAATGAAAAATATTAATTCATAGAATACTAAGTATACTTAAGAAAAGTTGAATACTAAAGAATATTAACCATTGAAGGCCCAAAAAAAAAAAAAAAGAAAGAAAAAAGAATACTATAAATGAGTTCAGGATTTCTTTCAATTCTTGATAACAAAATCTTCATGTTTTTTCAATTCTTAGCAACAAAATCTAAATGATATGTTCAAAAGATTTTTTTTAATTTAAAATTTAATTGTAGAATACATATGTTTAAATTACTTAGTTTAAGTTATATTTTAAAAAGGTATATCATTTTTTTAATATAATGTTGAGAAAGGAACATTAAAATGATCCCATGCAATACACATGCAACACATAGATATTTAATCTTATTTAAGTGTATTGTAGTTTTTTAACTGAGAAAAGAGAGAATATTGTCTAAATCTTTAAATAGAATAATAGTAGAAAAAAAAGAACATATACATATATTTAAATTATGAGATAAGAATTAATAAGTGTTTTTTGAATTCTTTTAATATTTTTTAAAGTGATTATATA